ATGCATTAACTCATTTCTTTCAAAATGTGCTCCACGCACCATCATTCAACAATGGATTTTTCCTTTATTTCAAACATTTCCAAAGTACAATACAAGTTACTATTCATCAAACATCACTAGCTAACAACAATCTCACAATGTAAAACACGACATAAAATATGGAATTGTCTATTCACAATGTCTATCCACAACGAACATCATATCCTCCTACATCATGCAGTCCAGCCTACAATAGTACTCATTGCCTATATCTAACAACAATCAATACCATCCTCCACCGGTGGCCAAGGACAAAACTCTAGACACCAATCTCATAATCTAAAACATTAATTAAGTACAATTAAGTTCTCATTCTCTAGTTTATAAAAAAGTTAACAAAATACCCATTTGTTTTCAAACATAACTCCAAAGTCCCCACACTTTTAACACACCCAAATACTCATTTATTAACATTTCCAAAAACCCCCCAAACTATTTATAATAGGCACAACTCACCATTTACATAACATTACTCGTCTTCTCAATCCATAAATCCTTAGTTAGAAGCCAAGGCTTCCTAATCCAACACCTCAACATAATAACAACCCATAACAACCCACAAAACCAAATCACAAACTCACTAACTCAAGCCCAAACCAACCCAACCCAAAGTGTGTTCAATGATTTTAAATGTGAAAATCATACTTTTAATGCAATAAAAAGTACCACAAGTCTATCTATAACGAAGTATTGAAAAGAAGCTCAAAAATCCCTACCTCTTGAAGCGAAGAGGAGAAAAGCCGAAAATCCACTGGCGATGAAAACAAGATCCGCTTAGATTAGATTGAAGCCCTCATGACCCTCTGCGTTTTGATCCATAAGACAAGGGGTAGAAAAATGGGTATAACTAGATGAAAGCCAAGCTTTAAGGTCGAAGAAACCCTAAAATGGTGAAAAGAGGAAAAGAGAGAGAGAGAGAGAGAGAGATAAAAGCAGAAAAATGACTTTTCAATGCACTACGGACTTTATATATATGCAGACCGCTCGATCGCAAGAAGTGTCGCTCGAGCGACCAGACACAAAAAGTGTGACCGCTTCAGCGTAGAATACAAACTCCTAGAAGTTTTGCAGACAGAAGACCACCGCTCGAGCTCAAGAAGTACTGCTTGAGCGCAACACCACTCAAGCGCAAGAAACACCGCCCGGGCTAAGAATAAACCCTCCTAGTAGTTTTGCAGACCTGTAAAAGTACTTATAGTTTTCAAATACCGCTCGAGCGTGGAGACAAAAATCTGGGCAACAACAGTTTAGAAAAGCACCAACCTGTTCTAAACCCAATCAAGACATTCCAATAACCAAACTCAATGAGGAATAAGGAGAAACAAGACATGAACAATCATATAAGACAAGGAAACCTAGATCTGAAACATCAAATGGGTCAAGTTTAAACCAGAGTCGCTATAGCTTATGAGTCCAGGTTGTGAGTCGGGTCTTGTTTTGGGTTATTTGTGTTGTATTTGATACCTGTGCTAAAAGTTAAGGTGCCCAATTGCTCTATTTTATGCATATCACCGAACGAATGTGGGAAAGAATTTAGGGTGTCCACGAGCCTGTCGTTTTTAGATTCGACCAATGTGGAAAACATGATTTTTGATGTCCACAAGCCTGCTGTTTCTAAAGTGGCAAATGTGGAGGAATGAGGTCTTGGGTGCCCAACGCTTTGCTATTTCTAGAGTCGGAAAATGTGGGATTGTATTTCTAAATACTTATATATATCTTTTGTACTTGCAGTTTGAGGCTCTTGTATCTAGGCGTCGTAGCGTGTTTATACCCCATGACTTTGAAAGAAATGAATTTGTTATAAACATTGTTTAACTTGATTTTTCATCGTTTTGCAAAGGTGTGAGCATTGGTTTTACATTCATTGCATAGCATAATCATATGTATGTCAAGGGAGAAATACATATGATTAATCCTTTTGATAATTTGTTTAAACAATGATGTAACCATGTGAATAGTTCAAGGGAGAAAAGATGACTTTGGTATATGTAACAAATTATTTAATGCATTGGATTATCTATTTTGGGTTATGATATTCATGTATTAGTATGTTGAGGAGTGGCGTAATATCAGGGCATTACAAGCGACGTTTGAAATATTGTTTAATTTTATTGTTTTTACTTAGACCCTTGAAAGATTTATTCGGAGTTGCCACCTAACATAGAGTTTGGGTGTGTTAGGCCACCCGAAAAATAAATTTTAATGAACCACTATTTTTATATTATTATTTACTAATGTAGGGTCTGTTTTATTTTAATGACTCTAGTTAATGGTTTGTGTGAATCACAGATGAGTTCGAGGGTTTTCTGTTATGAGTAGGGAAGATGTCAGGCACCCTACATCACCTTTTCGATACTATTTTCCTTGTATATGCTAAAATTTGTTGGAGTGCTTGTGCTTTGGTTTTTGGAATGATTGGTTTACTATATTGTTAATTTTATCACTTGTGGAGATGAGAATATGTTGATTGCGATGTTTATTAATTTGCTCGTGGGCCTAATGGCAAGTGGGTGATTATTGGTATTAATATACCTTGCCCAACGTATGGGTGAGAATGTGATGCTAATTAATTTTCTTGTTGGCTTGATGGCGAGTGGATAATTATTAGTATTAATGCACCTAACCCAATGTATGGGTAATATAGAATAACAATATATATGAGTTAGCGGTTAGCTTATCAAAAGTTCGAGTAATAGTATATTTACTATACACTATGTGAGGGATAATATTACATAGAAAATGTAAATAAAAGACCAAAAAAGTTCGTATTGATGCATTTACTATACATTCGACTAAGGGACGATATATTAATATGTATTATTTACATATAGAGGGTACTGGTATTTAAATGACTGAAATGTAAATAAAGACCGAAGGACGGTGTATTTACTATACATTCGACTAAGGGAAAGTATATAATAATAATATGTATTATTTACACATATATAGTACTGGCATTTAAATAAGAGAAATGTAAATAAATGACTGAAAAAGTTCACATTGGTGTATTTACTATACATTTGGCTAAGGGACAATATATAATTATATTTATTATTTACATATATATATAGTACTAGCATTTGAATGATAGAAATGAAAATAAAAACCAAAAAAGTCTGTGCCGGTGTATTTACTATACATTCGGCTAAGGGACGGTATATAATAATATGTATTATTTATATATATATATATATAGTACTGGTATTTAAATGACAGAAATGTAAATAAAAATCAAAAAAGTTCGTACCAATGTATTTACTATACATTCAACTAAGGGAAAGTATATATCTTATTTACATATATAGACTTAGTAGAGTTAGCAATGTTAGTGTTAACATTGAGAATTCTATCTCAACATTGATCTGTAATGAAATGAAAAGATGATGTGACTCGTGAGATGATTACAAATGTTATTAACACTAAACAATTATATGTGATGAAGAGAAATGATAATGGGACTTATAAGATGATAACAAATATTATTAACACTCAACAATGATATTTGATGAAGTGAAATGATGATGAGACTCAAGAGTCATGAGATATCATAACAAGTTAATAGAATTGTGGGATTATACATTATTTTGAGTTAGGCACACGACAGGAAAAATGGTGTACAGCAACGTTTTTTTTTGTGGCGTTTAGGGAAACGCCACTATAAATTAACAAAACACAATGTTTTCGAAAAATGTTGTGTCTGATCTCAATGAAACGGCGCCGCATTGGGTCAATGTATTGACCGTCAAAACCTCCGTCTCTTCAGTCTCTCTTTCTCAGTCTCTACCACAACTCAGTTTCCCTCTCTTCCAAAACCCTCGATTTGAAGCTCTCACTCTCTCTCGCTCAGTTTCAAACACACACTCTCTCGCTCGCTCGCTCAATTTCTCATTCTCAACCCTCGATTTGCTCGATTGCAGATCCAAAACCCTTGATGGTTTGCACTTCATCGATCTCTGTCGCTCGCAATCGAACTCTCTAGCTATTCTTCATCGATCTCTGTCGCTCGAGGGCTTTGCTCTAGCTGTTCTTCATCGAACTCGAACTCGATCTGTTCTTTATCAAATCGATCTGTTCTGTTCTTCATCAAATCGCAGATCCAAAATCCAAAATCGATCTGTTCTAGCTGATCTCTCTTGCTCTTATATCAGGTACATTTTTCATTCTCAACCTTCTCATTGTCAAATCTGCTGATCTGTTCTACTTTCTTTGTAATTTTTTCGTTCTTTACTTTAAAAATTTTGGATTATATTTACTTAAATTGTTTGTAATTGCTGAAGTCTTAGTGGATTCTATTTACTTAAAATGTTTGTTTGTTTGTAATTTTAATTTGGATGTAGGAGACAATAGGTCACTTGATCAAATTCCTATTGCTTGCAAAGATGCAGTAGCAATTTTGTTTATGTTTGATCTTACTAGCCGGTGTACTCTAAATAGGTATGTTAATTATTTCATCATTAAATCAATACTCCTTTTAATAGTGATACATACATAGTTTTAAGTTTAAAGAACCACTAATTTGATATAATTTATAATATCAAATAGGGTGACATAACAGTAGTCAACATTATTGATTGATGCCAAGCATGTGTAACATTATGATTTTGAATTTCTAATGTTTATCACAATTTTACTATGAAAGTTAATAAAATCCATTGAACTATGTATACATTTTATCAAGCTACTCAGGATTGAATTTGGAACTCAGAATTTAGACTGGAAAAGGTGTGTAAGCAAGGTGTGGAAAAATATTGTGCTTACCTTTAGTTTGTAATTACATGGAAACACATCTCTCATTTGTGCACTCTTAGCCTTACAGGTTATTATTAGTTTGAAATATGTTGATGAATATATGACATGTATCTGATTTCTCTTTAAAAAAAATTCTTTACTATGCGAGATGAAAGTTTAGTATCTCTTTTTTGTACTATTGTAAACTTGTATGCTAACATTTTATCTTTGTTTCTTTCTTCTTTCTTCTTTTTTTTTTTTAAAAAAAAAAACATTTTTAGGTTGGGAATGTGTTTTACCCTTGTTCCTTCGTGGTTTTGGATTCTCCTAATATGGATTTCCTTTTTGGGCTGGATATGCTTCGTAAGCACCAGGTAACATGGTTATTCTTTCAAGCTGTTTAAATTTATGACTTTCTCCAAAATCCAGAGTGGTTAAATAGTTAGTTCTAAATAGCTACTGGTTGCAGTGCATAATTGATTTGAAGGAGAATGTCTTGAGAGTTGGTGGAGGAGAGGTTTCAGTACCCTTTTTGCAAGGTTGTTTTGTGTTTCCCACACTATCTGCACTACTTGCGTTATTTACTTTTTCACTAGTGGTTAATTTCCATTGAATTGATTTGTTTGTCTGTGATTTCTGGATTTTTTGAAAAGCTTAAATTTTGGATTTATTTCAGAAAAAGACATTCCAACTAATTTTCTGGATGAAGTTGCAAAGCAAGCCTCAAGCTCTGGAGCACAGGTAGGGATATTCCTGACCATGTGCTTTCACTAAACGGATTATACTCTGATAATTGCACTGTGTGATGGTTTAGCATATGTTCTATATTCTTGTTTTCTTATTCTCTTTATCTATTAAATGCTCAAATGCACATCTGGTAAATATTTGATATATAACTTTGTTGAACAAGTTGCGTAGAAGAATTGCAGAACTTTGCCAGTAGTATTTTATTTTTCTCTTTGAATTGCATTAGGATATTGATTAATTATGGAAATAAAAATTTATTTAAAAAAAAAAAAAAACCATGAAGCCTAAAACCCAAGTGCAAGAGTTTGAAGGGATGGTCTGAGAAGTTTAATCAGAAAAGTAGTTTTTGTTTGGTTCGACACCTCTGGTAATGCTGTAATTGGTTGGGCATGCAATGGTCTTTGTTGATTCATAGTACCCATGCTACATCCCTTCTTTCTTCATTTATTTTGAAGTTGAAGGTTACGAACCTCTGTGTGAGTATTGCATGCGACCTACCGTCTAGAGTGGTTTATGTGAACTGTTGTTAGATTTGGACCTCTGATAGAACATAACTTTGGCTTTGTTCTCCTGTGATTTTGCAGGCTACATCTGGAACAAGAGAGAATAGCAGAACACAAACTGAGGGTCAGTCTTCTAATTAGTTCCAGTGTCCTTATATATGCTTTTATTGCATGCATGGTTTAACATGAATTATTATGCACATTTGCTTTGTTTCTGCAGAATAAAATTTCTTTAATTATAGCATCTAAAGATTGAATTTTCAAATATGACATACTTCGTTGAGTTCAAGGTGTGCTCTTTATCAATTGATGATGTGAAGATCAAGGTTTTAAGAAATTTATCCTTCTGGTTAAACTTCCCTCTCAAATCTTGGATATCAAAGAATGGTATCTCAGGTTGCACGTACTATCTTTTAGGTTTTTATTGTTTTTATTTGGCCATGCCACATGGATTAACACTCATTCAAAATTCTCGTAAATGAGCTTTTTTGAATTCCTTTTGGTGTTTCAGCCACCTATGTAACCAGAGTTTGATATTTGGGAGACTCTCCTTGCGTAGCGCCTTGATGAGGGGGCCTCTCAGGAGATTGATGTTTACCATTAATAACCTGTCTGATATTTCCTCTTTTTGTTATTTGTCTTCTATTACGCATATTATTCAAATAAATTATATATAAATATATATTTTTTAGATGGGAAAATAAATTATATTATGTTCTTTTCATGTAATGAAATTAACTTGTGACAATCTCTCTCTTCCCCTGCAGGTAGTGCGCCTAACCGGTCACAGGTGATTTTACAATTTTAAATCATTTGAATTGCTGCTTATTAGCAAATATTCTGTATTTTATGCATTCTTTGGCTATATATTATTGCTGCATTTTTTTTTTTTAAATTAAAAATTTTAAATGCTGCATATTTCCTTCCAGTAGCTTATACCATCTGGTCAAATACATCATCTCATTGGTGTTGGGTGTTGAACCGTTGTGACCACAATAAATTTTCAGTAATTAAATGGCTTTGACTGAGATTATGATTTATAAGTACAATAAGGTTATAAATGAAGGTTGTTTGTCTGCAGGGACCTGAATTTGAAGCCAAAGTTACAAGACTGATTGAGCTAGGGTTTGGAAGAGAGGCAGTCGTACAAGCTCTAAAATTTTTTGATGGTAATGAAGACCAGGCTGCTGGGTATCTCTTTGGGGCCTAAAGGTGGTTTTTGTCTTTGTGAGTTTTGTGGACCAAAACTGGTTTCCACAGCGAACTTTTTGATAAAAAAAAAGAGAGAAAAAAAACATTTGTGTCTCTCTCTCAACATTCATTGGGCCTGTGATAGTACCTGCTTACGAAGTGTTGTATTTTGAATGTGAATTAATTTATATTTAAGATTTTTGAGAGCCTATTTCTTTGGGATTGTTCTTTCATGATTCTTCTATTATTTGCTCAATTTTAGGTTCGGAGGTCTAAGGGATTAAAGCTCTTCTAGTTTAATGACCTCAGATTTCTGAGATAAACCTATATATAGCAGTGTGAATCGCGATGCGTTACTTATGGATGGATCAAAATTCAATAGAAGGCAGCCCATGATTCAATATGACCAGAATAGATCATGTTGTGTTTCCATTTTCATTTTGAATTTCATTAGGTTGATGACTTTATAATAGAAGTCTGATGAACATCTTACAAATTACCAAGAGGGACAAAATGTTATAGCAAGAAAATTACAGCTAAGAGGGACAACTTACAAATGAAAATGCTGAACTAACAGATGGTATATTATTTGTTTCATGCAAGCTAAAACCTTCGTATATGCCTCGTCATCTTTGCAAACAATTGTGGCAAATGGAAATATTTTTATCCCCAACAATAATTAGTGAAGGAATAGAGAAAGGGAAGCTAAACTCGTGGCGGTAAAATTTTTGAGTCTTGAATTCAAGCATCACGCCCATAATTAGGCCAACCCCTTCTGGCAAATGGATTTGAAACATCTTTATATGTTGGAGAAAAATAAAGCCATAGGCATCAACTCCACAAAAATATACAATGAATTTGCTTGTGAGCTACTCACATCTCCCCTTATATCGAAGGCAGATATTATAGTCTCCTTGCGTGTGGAGAATGAATAGCTTGCCACTGAGGCATGGAACCAATCTCGCGACAACGAAGCAAATAAGACAACAAAGCGCTACAGTATGCAGTTAATTGTAACTTCTAGTTATGAAAGTCCAATTTGAAAGAAGTTCATGAAAATCAAAATCAATGGAACTTCTGTTGTTTAGTTTGATAAGCAAAGGTTTACATCAAAAAATCCACGACAATACAATGATGCCCAAACCTAAAATTGCAAACAGAGCCATATTTGGATATAGGCAGCAAAAATCAAATCAAGTTCTGCTCAAGGACTCACACATTCGACAAACTTCTTAAATCTACACCACATTTCGAAATTTTATAACTAGGGGACAGAGCCCAAAACAATGGTAAATATGACGATCAAAACCTTTCTGCCAATCTGGCAGTGACTGCTCTAAGTTTTGAATATACCTTCCCAGCGGGGGACCCTAAAATGAGACTACAGAGCGAATCCCTTGCAATTTTAATGTTGGCAAAAGAACCTAATATATGAATCTTGGTGTCTGCAATCACAATCCGCGTCTTTGTCGAGTTCTCAATGGCAAACTTTGTCTTCCCTCCTTTACCAGACAACCTACCGATCGCACGAGACAGGTGCTCACCTCGAAGGGTTTTCACATCCTTGATCTCAAAGGATTCAACATAAAGCTCGTCCATACGCAGGAGCGCGATAGCATCTATCACATCAAACCCTAGCATGAATGCGTGGACAAAATCTGCACTCTTTTGTAGGTTACTGATATCGGGCGTGTCTGGTCTGGTCTTCAATTCAACTTTGCGAGCTTTGAGATTCATACGGATATCAATCTTCATTTGATCATATATTGGATTGTAGATTTCCATCCATGCTTTCTTGAGGGGCGTGTACCGATGAGGCGGAACAGAAACCTTCCGAAACTGAACTCGACCTTCAGATATCTCGTGAGCTTTCAAAGGCTCAAAATTTGGCTTTGATGGAAAATTTACAGGCTTTGGTTGAGATGTAGGTTTTTCAATCTCCATGGCAGTGGTGCTTTCATTGGCTTGCATCGTTTAATCTCTTGAATAGACGAAGCAAAATCCACTTGAAATATTAAAATCCAAATCAATATTAGATTAGTTAAATCAAGGGCCATACTACATTCAATAACATCGTATAAAGAGCTTATGAAATGACAAAATGAGAATTAGTATATCAGTTGGAATAGATCAAACAATGTTCAAAGGTGCTGTAGCCCACATACAATGTACTAGTTACCAACCCTGGTAAATTTACTGCTCTACACAAACATGGATCGGAGAAGAGACACGACACTGATTTGCGACCCCTACGTTAATGGTAGGAGGTCCACTAACATAAAAATAAACTCAAATGTTCACACGTACACGGATTTATTTCAACTCGGGTATTATTTGGTTGTGTTACAAGTTTTCCATGGCTTCTACAAAAAAAAGAAAAAAAGAAAGACCTTTTCTTGTTGTTAAGGCAAACTTCAAAAAATTTAAAAACAAAAACAAGTGCCAAGCTGTTGCTATGATTTTGTAGCTAGGCTTCACAAAGTTGGATTAGGTGTTTATTATTTTAAAAAATTACTTTGTCCATTCCATGGAATAGGATTTGTATCAGGAGAATGTGGAAAACTAGGAATGACTCGTTGTAAATTCAAGCATCCAATTGTCCTCCTCTACCCTGCAAACCCAATTATTTGTAGTTTGTTTTATGTTGTGCTTGTAACGATGCCATGCATTTTTATGCTTATTGATATTAATTGTTTCAGTGCGTCTACTGCTGACTTGAGCTTCAATTCAGATGGGTCTGCTGTAAACCCGGCAGCCTTCCAGCAGCAAATCCGACGTGATTCTAATACGATGGCACAACTATTTCAGGTAGCGATTAGGATTTTGTTACTTCTGCATGAGTAAAATCTGTATACGCATACTCAAATTAGTATCTACCATTTGATAGAAGTTTGGCAGCCAGAAAAACGAGTTACTTAACAAATATAGTCATGCATCCTGACTTGACATCATGGTTAGCTGGTTGGTGGTTGGCAGTTGACCTTGACTTATTTGTAGAAGTCTGTATAAATTTCAGAGATTGGAATTCTGACTAATTTTCTTGTGGGACTCAAATTTTGATAATTATAAATCCTGAAAAACTCTGAAGGTGGAATCAAGTGCATTAATAATATTTTCCTTTTTAGAAATTAAAGATGTCTTTTCGTAACAAATAACATTTTATAAAATGTGGTTCTTATGCTCAAAACACACTATATTTTGGTTGAGAGTGTTAAAACCATGAATACCTTTTTTCTTCTTATTATTATTATTAATTTTTTATTTTTTTATTTTTTATAGAAGGAACATAATTTTGTTTTGTTTTTGTTGTGTTGTGT